GGCCACAAACAGCTAAGAACATTTTGTTTTCATTCTTTAAAATGTCCTCTATTACTTTAAAAATGACTCTTGTCTTTAAGCTATGTTGGAATGCTGTCTCTTCTGTTACGTCCTCAAAAACACACCCGTAGCTGTGTTTTGTTTCATTAATACACATTTGAAAATTTGCACCTCCAAAGCTCAAAATGATCTGTTCCACTTTGTGATGCTACTTTGTACATTTTGTTCTCTAGAGATTGAAAATGCCAGAGCTGAAATCATCCAAATGATTCTAGTGAAGCTGTATGGACTTAAAAAACACAGTGGAGCACTTCCTTTTTGACCCCCATTTTCAACCCCCTCCTCTAGAAATGTTCCATGGTGCAGCTTTAAATCACTTAAACAAGCCTCTGCACATGTTGTTTTAATGATTAAGGCGTGTGTTTGCACTTCTGCAGGTTTATCACAGTTCATTTCAGTCCTGACATGTGCTACAGCCCTGACTGCACATGTTACATACATGTTTTTCTGGTTCTAACTCGCTCTTTAAACCTCTGCACACATAAGTTTGTTCCATATTTGTGAGTGACAAGTTCAACGTATGAGCCAAGAATTAAAATGTTTTTAATGGGAAACTGAACAGAGCCTGAAGCCAGTGCAGAAACAGTTAGAGATTTGCCAAACACTGATTGTGCTGTTTAAGAAGACATGCTGTGCTTTTAGCCGGGGACGTACTTGGGACATACATGAAAATAACAAACAGTAGTGTGTAGCTTTCTGAAGGTCCTGGTTCAGTCCTGGTTCAGTCCTGGTTCAGTCCTGGTTCAGTCCTGGTTCAGTCCTGGTTCAGTCCTGGTTCAGTCCTGGTTTGATTGCAGTCTAGTTGTAGTTTAGTCCCGGTCTGGTCCTGGTTCAATCCTGGGTTTGTCCTGGCTCAATCCTGGTCTGGTCCTGGTTTGGTTGTAGTTTAGTCCTGGCTCCGGCCTGGCTCCGGCCTGGCTCCGGCCTGGCTCCGGCCTGGCTCCGGCCTGGCTCCGGCCTGGCTCCGCTTTGGTTCTGTCCAGATTTGATCCAGATTTTGATCCAGATTTAGCCCTGGTTCAGTCCTGGTTCAGTCCTATTTTCAGTCCTATTTCAGTCCTGCTTTAGTCCTGCTTTAGTCCTAAAAACATTTCCATGGAAACAAGTAGGAAGGAACCCTCCTCGAGGCCAAATTAGAGTCAGATTTGTGGAGATGCAAGCGCACTCACACCAACCACACATGTTTCTCTATGTTCTTCAGTGCAAAAACGACAAAATCACAAGTACATACTGTTTTCTTCAGTTTAAATGTTAACACTGATCTAAAACAGCTTAAACTGGCCCATTAATAGTGCCTCAAATGTTAGACAATAAAGATTCCTTAAATGTGCATGACTCAAACTAGGAATGCACAGGGTTCTTTCTTTCTTCTTTTTTTTTTTTTTTTTTTCATTTTAGAGGGTATAGTCTAATATAATACAGAATAATGAACAAAAAATGCTTATGTTATTTCATGTATTTTGACTGCCATCTAGTGGTTTGGAATTAAACAAATACAGTGACAGTACAGATGTTTGCTCTGTCCAGTCATTCTATTGGATATTGGTGGATTTATAATAAAACATGCTATGGAGATATAAAATTATGAAATCGGTCTTGTCATTTGATTTTCTTATTTGCAGTATTTTTATTAGAATTTTCATAATAAAGTTTTTAAGGTAGGTGCCCCTGTTTAAAATTAAAAGTAGGTACGTTGAGTGCATTGACTTCGGTATTTTCAGTGTCTTTTTTTTTTTTTTTTACTGAAAGTTTGACATCTTTGAACACCGCTCACAGCTAAGAACATTTTGTTTTCGTTCTTTAAAATGTCCTATATCACTTTAAAAATGACTCTTGTGAGCTTTAAGCCATGTTGGAATGTTATCTTTGCCTCCTCAAAAACATGCCCGTAGCTGTGATGATCTCTTCCACTTTGTGACGCTACTTTGTACATTTTGTTCTCTAGAGATTGAAAATGCCAGAACTGAAATCATGACTCAAATGATTCTAGTGAAGGTGTTTTCTGTTTGAGAGAAGTACTCAGCCTAAATATGCAGGGTTTGTGTGTTAAAAATGTGTGAATAAAACAAAACACAACTCCAGGTCTGTTTGTGATGAAGAAACATTAGAACAGATCAGAAAATAGCATAATATGGGTCCTTTAATGATTTTTCCCATTCTAAAAGTTATATTTTTCTTAAATACTATGGCAGTGATCCTCCTGAAATCCATGGATAGGCCTGTTGAATGTTGTGATGGTATCTGAAACCCAACAATTGTGCAGAAATGAATCATATTTTCCCGAACACTGAGTCATATCTTTTGAATGAGACGTTCCTCACAAAACCTTCAAATCAGGACAAAATTGTTTTACCCGGTTTAGATCCGCTTTAGACCTGGCTTAGGCCCATTTAGACCTAGTTTAGTTCTAGTTTAGCCATAGTTTAGCTCTAGTTTAGCTCCAGTTTAGAGCCCAGTTTAGACCCCGTTTAGAGCCCGTTTAGAGCCCGTTTAGAGCCCGTTTAGAGCCCGTTTAGACCCCGTTTAGACCCCGTTTAGTCCCAGTTTAGTCCCAGTTTAGTCCAGTTTAGTCCCAGTTTAGTCCCAGTTTAGTCCCAGTTTAGTCCTGGCTTAGACCTGTTTTAGAAAGTCCAAATTCCAGGTCCCAGTTTAGTTGTAGATCAGTCCTCGTTTAGTTCCAAGTGGGTCCAATTTTCAGTTCTCAGTTAAGTCCTTTTGTGGCCCCAGTTTGGTCACGATTTGGGCCCTTTTTAGTCCGTTTAGTCCCTGTTTAATCCATGACAAACCGTCATCACAAAAACTTTCTCTTCAGAGTTCATCTTTAGCCTTGTATGTGTAAATAAAGCAGCTCTAGGCTCAGATCTGATTGTGAGTGTGATCAGATAACACGACACAGGTTAGACTTTCACACCTGTTTGTATGTGTCCATAGATACTTTTCACTTTAGGCCTACTTTAGTTCAGTGGTGGCCTGAAGTTACGAGTTTCCATTAGCAACAAAAACAGACATATAGTCCTGTTTAGTCATGGTAGAGTCACAGTTTTGTTCAGGTTTAGACAAAGTTTATTCCTGGTTTAGACTTAGTTCGGGCCTGGTCCCATTAAAGATCTAATGCTATGTCCCGGTTTAGTCCTAGATCAGTCCCCGTTTAGTCCCCGTTTAGTCCCCGTTTAGTCCCCGTTTAGTCCCCGTTTAGTCCCCGTTTCGTCCCCGTTTCGTCCCCGTTTCGTCCCCGTTTCGTCCCCGTTTCGTCCCCATTCAGTCCTCATCTATATGGAACAAGTAAGAAATTTAACTCCCAGTCTTTGCATATTTTCGAGAAATATACACTTTACTTGTAACTATTCTCCAACAAGAAATCTTGAAGTAGCATATTTTTACATTTAATTTGGTTATATGCAAAGTAATGTAATGTAATGTAATGTTATGTAATGCAATGTAATGTAATGTAATGTAATGCGTAATGTAGCGTAATGCCTTTTTAATTAATTATTTATAATTAGCTCAACAAACATGACAGAGGTTAAAGGTTCTTCTTACAAAAAACGTGACAGTGGTGACAGTGACACAGCCTCATAAGCAGAAAGTAATTACTTAAATTATTGGGGACAGGTCGGTCATGTGAAGTCATGTATCTAAATTCATTAAGTTTTTGCATAATTGGAAGTTCAAATGTCCCTTTAGCACTTTCAAGACAGAAAAGCAATACGGTTAATAGCTAGAATTATTATTACATATTAAGAATTGCATAAATGAGTGTGATATTAAAGTCATGATACTATGATTATAAACACCACTCTTTCTTTAGACAATAGAATGTGATTTTCAACATTAAATCATAGTACTTTGTTGTATATTTCATGTGATCTTATATCTGTGTAATGTCTCAGTGGTCCAGGTAGGTCCCATAGTGGTCCATAGGCGTGTACTAGTCTATGTGCTCTTATATTTGTTCTGATACAGCTCAAGATCATTTTAAAGCTATTCAGGAAAGGCTCATTTTTGTCCTGTGAATTTTTTAGTATCGATACATGCGAAAAATTTGTATCTAGGTTCGATACTACTTTTAGTATTGTTACTATCTGATTTTCAATATAGTATAAATACAGATAGATTATACTTGCTTATTCTGAATAATGTAAATTTAACACCGAAAGCAAAAGTTACTATAATTAGTACTAGAGTAATATTACACTGCAATAACTCAAATTGCATGTTGTCATATCAGTGTCCCAAAGCGTCTAAATTTCATGCTAGTTTTTGCATCTTCAGAAGGAGGAGGTACTGTGAAAAGTAAATAAAAGAATTGAAAAGTGAACCAAAGTGCACATTAGAGTCATTGATGCATCTGCTAATTGCTGTTGTCTTAAAACAAAAGAGCAAGCTTATATAGATTAAAATATTTCATCACAGAACAGTTAAAACTAAATTGAAATTATAGTCCATTTAAGAACTGAATAGGCTAATGACACAGATCAAAATATACAGTATAGACAAATTTAGATCTCTACAAACATGTTCTGAAACACAAGTGATTCTGAAATGTTTAAACTTTTTACAGTGTTTAAAATGTTAACTTAATACTTCTAAATCTAAATCTCAAATATAACTGCATTGCTGGTCACAAAATTGCTGTTTCTGTGTAGTTTTAACTTATTTGTTTTCTCAATAACAGAACAAAACAATGCTATGTATATCAGACCATATGTTTCGAGATGTCATAATAAATCAAACGCTTGCCAATAAATCTGTAGCCTTACTACAAGTTTGAGTGTTGACTTAAAATTGCATTATAAAACTCATTTCATTGTGTAACCTAAATAAAAACAATATAATATCCATAGACAATATATGGGTCATGAGTCTGCCGGGCAATATTTGTTTGTTAATATATACTAAAATGTTTTAAAATATAACATAATGTAAAGTTTTCTACTCACCCCTCGCTCCGATCTGTCTGGTTCTTCTCCAGTCCTTGGTCCAGACCTTGGTCCTGGTTTAGTCCCTGGTTTAGTCCCTGGTCTAGCCCCTGGTCTCCCTCCTCTCTCACTTGTAGAATCCCTTGCTTTGCGACGGCCACCTGCTCCTGTGTGCTCCTCCCTGCTCCTTCTGTAACTATATCCACCTCTGCAGTGCTCACCGCAGCCCTATTGTTTCCTTTGGCATTCAATATCTCTTTAGCGCTGTCAGCGAGCATGCTTTCTTTATCATTTTCGTATGTTCCGATTGTGGTTAAAACCCGTTCCGCCTCTTCTGTAAACCTGGGCGTGATTGGCAGCTTGATGACTGTACTTGAATTTTCTTGTGTTGTGTTGGGAGTTTTGACATCTTTGGTAAGCGAATTTTCAGAATCGGTAGAATCTTGCACTAAACTGGCATCTTTTAACTCAATTTGGGAAATCCCTGGCACCTCCTTCTGCCCACTCTCTTCTTTAAAGGGTGGAACAGCTATGAATTCCTTTAGTTGCTCGACCGGTGCAGTAAGAAACTCCTCCTTTCTTTCATTCTTGTCTTTCACCACTTGCGATCCAGACAACATACCATTTCCATCATACAGTTCAACTTTCTTACCTCTCTGCAGATCAACTTCAAATGCGTTTTCAGCCCGATTTACAGTATCTTCTTTCAAAATCACCGTCCTGTTTGCGATCAGATCTTCCAAAACGCTCGCGCCCTTCGTCGTTTCGATAATAGTGGCTTCTCTGTCATCACTAGTGAACAAATCATCTCCGTTGTCTTCCTCGGCGCTAAAAAACATCTCCATCGTGCTCCCATCGTCAGACCCAACGCTCAGATAGGCAGGACTGCATATCCCATCATGCAGTTCGCTCTGTCCAGAGGTGAAGGACAGGACTTCACTTTGGTCGCGTATCAGATCAGAGCTTGTGACTGTTGAGGTTTTTTCCATGGTCGGACTAAGACAGCCTGAATCTGTACTAGTGCTGGCGGTCTCATTTGCGACTAACTCCTTGACTAAAAGTACTTTTCTTTTTGAGTCAGTTGAAATTTGAGCACTGGTCTCTTGGGAGGTTGCATGTCTGAAGAGAGGAGGGGACTTCTCAACCACAGAGGAACGTGTCAGTGTATCTTTAACATAGGTGGTTTCTGTATTAAACTCTGAATATGCAAATTTGTTATTTTGCGTCAACGGTTCCGCATCATTGGAAATCATGTCATAGGTCGTGCGGATGTAGACGGTTTTGGTTGGTGATTTTGGTTCAATTTTGGTTGCTAAATTATCACTTGCGCTGCTAATTGAACTTAAATTATCGTCAATTTTCTCTGAGGAGGAAGTTGAGAATGGCGCGCCAATAGTTTCGTTTTCTTCATATCTCTTAACCACAACAGTTTCCGTCGTAGTTTCAATGATTTTATTCTCGGTTGCCAGATTAGCCGGTTGATTTAACAGTGATGAAGCGATTTCTTGGGTGAAATTTTCAGGAAAAAGCGAATCGTACAAAGTTTGGTACATTTTATTTTGTTCGGCAATGTTGGGCGGACTTTTTTCGGTCTTTAAAACGTTGCTTTCGTTTTGGGGAGCTTTCGGACTTGTAGTAACTGAAACAAAGCTGTCATTGCTGGAAATTGTAGGTGAATTTGTAGTTTTCATGTCAGGTTTGGTGTCCAGTTTGGTGTCCAGTTTGGTGTCAGTGCTGACAGTTTTGGTAGAGCTAGCTGTATTACTAATTGCGTTCGGTGATTCAACTTGCTTATCTAAAATTGTTGTCGACATCGTGGATTTTGTCACAGAAAAGCTATTGATCGCAGGTTCTCCCATCTTTACGGTCATTTTGGGTTCAATTGCCGCAGTTGAGTCGATTTTAAGATGTGTATCTGTCACTGTATTCTTAACTGGACTAAGTGATTCAACTGGTTTATCCAAATTTGTCGTCACCATTTTGAAGTTTATAGCTGAATAACTGCTTGTAGTTTGTTTATCTTCTAATGTGGCGTCCATTTTGGGTCCAATTGCGGTAGCTGTGTCAACTTTAAGCTGTTTATCAGTAACAGCAGTCACCACTTTGGAATTGATCGCAGAATTGCTCTTGATAGGTTCTTCCACTGCTACGGTCATTTTGGAGTCGATTACTGTGTCGGTTTTAACATTCGTACCAATGGCGGTCATTTCGGATCCAGTTGCGGCAGTTGGTTCAATTTTAAGAGGTTTATCAGTAACAGCGGTCGCCACCTTGGAGCTTATCGTAGAATTGCTATTGATTGCAAGTTTTTCCGATGTCGCGGTTATTTTGGGGTCAATTCCTGTGTCGACTTTAACGTTTCTATCTGTTCCAGTGGCGGCAATTTTGGATCCGTTTGCAGTTGTGTTGATTTCCGGTTGCTTTACTGTCAGCGCTGGTTGGCTAATTGGCATCTCCGTTTTGGTATTGGACACTTGGATGTTGCGAGGGTCAAACGTAGCATTGTTTGACTTCAGAGCGGCGAAATTTGATAACGCTTTTTCTACTCTGCTCGAGGCTACAGTGGCTTCCTTGTAAGATGATACTTTTGGGGTCACCTCCTCAATAGCTGTATTCATCTTGTTATTGTCTAGTTTTAACTCAGGGATGGTGGCGATGGGAGCTTTCAGAGTTGTATTTTGAACGCCGGTTTGCTGCGTTTTGATTGGTTGAGGGTGGACAGTGACGGAAGCTTCTGGTTGGCTGGGGATCGGGTAATCGGGTCTGTTGACAGCTAAGTGAGGAGGGGAGGGGATGTCGAAGATCGGGCTGCTGTCCAGTTCTGGTTGAGACTTGCTCAAATTTTTAATGTCACGTTGGGCCAGAGACATTTGACTGAGATCAGAGGGAGTCTGTAACAAGACAGAGACACAAATAGTACGAAAAATACTACCATTATTGTAGAGTTGTAGAGCAAAAAACAAGACTTATAATTTATTAGTCTTTTTTTGTTTGTTTGTTTGTTTTGTTTTTTGATTAATTTTTCCAGGTTTTGAGTGGCACAATGAAGCCTACATGATTCATAAACATGTATGTAAGTTTTTTATTTTAAATTTCACAAACTTGACCTGTATGTGACCCTCAGATACAAGGTAGACATGTTCAAATGAAACGTAGCTTTTACTGAAAATAATTCTAATGCTGCTAATCAGAAAGCAGAATGAGCCTCACATGAGTCTTTCATTTGGGTTACCAGTGTCAATGTTGAAATCTAGTTGGTTTAAACCTAAAAGGACTTTCTCTGATCTGAACGGTCACTCCCTAAACGAATGAACAAATGGAAATCATGAATCTGTCATGAATCATCAACAGTCGTTGCAGCTCAGTAAGTGAAATCTGGAGGTTCTGAGTTTTTAAATGAGACATGGTGTGTCCATATACTGAGAATGAGACAAGCCTGTATGTGCCCTTCATGTAAAAGGTTAAGACTAGTTCCTTAAAATAAGCATTTTTGTCATTAGGTACCTACATGCACAGTCAAAATCTGATTATCAAATATTTTGAGTTATAACATCTAAAATACAAAATCATCTGATTTCTTTGTAATCATGCCTCTGATTACTCACATTCAGTTATGCAGTTTACATGCCATTTAAGTAATCCTAAAGGTCCAGAAATCATACCATTTTGGTGAATATAGTCACTGACTGAAGCAGGACCCATAATGCCAGATAACTGTACCTCCTGCTGTAGTTCAATCCCTGACCGGTCAATGCCGTAGGTGCTTCTGGACAGAACATTATCCTCTTTCTTCTTCTTCTTCCTCAGGTTCAGAGAAAACGTGTTAAACCGTTTGGGCTTCGAAGTTAAGTCCAGATCCGACGAGCTCAACTCCTTCCCCTGAGAAGAGAAATCACCACAAACTTCAAAAATGTTATACTGAAATTAAAAGGCGCAGTACTGGATTTCACAGTCTCAAAAATGAAAAACGGAGCTAGTTCATTTTAAACAGTTTGCAGTGGTCCAAAAGTTACTCTTCACTCACTTTCAGTCACTTTTGCATTCAGAGCATACTAATTATTCTACTGCTTTTCACAACTTTCAGAGGCCAGAGCGAAAGCCTGAGCGGTAGAGTTAACAACAACTGGCATGCTAAAGTGCACTTCCTGATTATAGAATCATCAACCATTTTAAAAGAAGATGCAGACAGTACACAGTGGAATTATTTTGACCTGAAGAGAGAATACATGTGCACTGGGGTAAAACATATTTTGCCGAATACATGGAAGAAAAACAGGGTAAAGACGACTTCAAAATTGAAAGTCAGTAATTTTCCATCTGCTCTGCCTTGATCCATTCCATTCATACCTCCTATATTTCATACTCCTATTGTGTTGAGGTTATATAGTGCTAAATGTAAAGTATGAAAACTATGCATTGCGTGTGTGACAGTCATAAACAAGGTGATTCATGTCTGCTCCTCCTTCACTAACGAAAGTCTTAAAACGTGAATGTGCTTCTGAATAATTTGTGAAACATGTTTGGAGTCTTTGACAAAGTGATTAATAAGACTTGTTGTTGGTTTCATGTTTGATTGACAGCAGGGCTTGTACCTAAAAGCTCATGCAATGGTGCAACATTAAAAGGGATTTTACGCTATTTTCTGATCTATGATATAAAGTTGTTTCCTCATCAAACACAGACCTGGAGTTGTGTTTTGTTTCATTCACACATGTTTAACACACAGATCCCCCCATATTTCTTCTCTCAAATGGAAATCATTGTTCCACCGCAATACAGGAAGTGCTCTATTGTGTTTTTAAACTCCATACACCTTCACTAAAATGATTGGATGATTTCAGCCCTGGAATTGCCAATCTATAATGGTGATGCTTTTCTCCCTCAGGCGTTGAGTTAAGTGTTGGTTATGTCAATGATAACAGGACAAAGGCTGAGCTGTCATTGGAGCTCAGGAGAGGTGTGGTCACTCACATAGCTCTCATACCAAACAAAAGCAGATGCCAAAACTCATATCAAGGCTATGGTTAAGTCTGCTTTTTTGTATTTTGTTTACTAATGAAACAATCATTTCTATTATATTTTCTATTTTTATTTACATTTTTTTAATACATGTTTTACGAAATAAAGGTTGAAGTGTATTGTGTGGAGGCTTCTAGATGAAGAAATGTTTACAAAAAAATAATAATTTGTTTTTGTTTTTGTTTTTTGACACAGTGATTTTACATTCAATATATTTGTTCTTATCACATACTTTCAGCATTAAGAATTGTTTAAAATTATATACGATTATGATTATTTTAATAATGAACTAGTCATGGTTTTTCAGATTCATCCTAACAAACAAAGCATTTTTTTTTTTCTAAAACATTTTCAGTTGCATTTGCTTATTTGTAGCAAGTGTCTAAACTGTGGAAAACATCTCAAATATTTTCATATCAATCAGGACCAAGCATGTAACTTACCTTAACAGTTTAGTAATTCACACATGGATTCATCATAAAGTTAGTTTTGATACAAACTGACTGATGTTATACATGTGTATGTTATACAGGAAGTGCTCCACTGTGTTTTTAAACTCTGTACACCTTCACTAAACTCACTAGAATTTGGATGATTTCAGCCCAGGAATTGCCAATCTTTATTGAACAAACAATAAAAGGAGGTATTAACTTGAAAACTACCACTTCATGACATCACAAGGTCAAAAAGTCAATTTTGAGCTTTGGTGATGTAGACAGATTAATAATAATAGGATTACTCAAACATGTGTTATTGAAACAAAACACAACTCCTTTAAATAAGTTTAAGTTTCCAGTCATCAGATAATAGTCAGATTTTGGTGTGCATGTAAACATATGAGTGCTGTCCTCTGCTCAAGTTTCATGACTTTGTGCAAACACAGATTATGATGTAGAGTCGTTTTTATGAAGGTCATCTTTAGATTTGAGCTGGAACACAGTGCGTTTTTACTATAAGCAGAGTTCAGACTAGATAAGTGTTTGTGTCCTGGTTTAAGACAGAACAGTCACTGTGCTACAGGTCACATAACCTCAGCGTGGACTTGTGAGGTTATAGCACCATCTTCTGGAGACAACTTGACTCACTGCACTGAACAGACTATGCATTCACTTCTATGTCAATATCATATTTTGTACTGTGCTGGGTTTCAGATCACATGAGAATATAATAATAAAATGTCACTATGATGTTGCCAGTGGGCCTTGAAAAATCCTGCAAATTTCTGAACTAGAAAAGGCGGAAAAAATCCCATTATTGTGAAATTTAAAGAGACAGACTCAGACACAGGCAAAATGTGACATCAAAAAGAGCTAATAGAAAAGATACTTCGCACAACTCCAGGTTTGTGTTTGATGAGGCAACAACCTTCCATGTCTGAAAGCTCACAAGAGTCCATTTTGTCTAATATAGAACCTTTTATAAAGAGGTTTTAGATTAGACCTTAATCATTATGAAATACAACACAAAAACAATTAACATGGCACCTCGTAATTATCATTCTAGGAGTCTGCCTTGAACCTGGTATGGTTGGTCTGGTTTGTCACATTAACATCTGAACAGGTGATCAGAACTACAAGGTGCACGTGCAGCGGCCAGTGTGGAATCTAAAAAAAAACAGCTCTAGGCCAATCAGCATTCTCTTTCAAAACTATTACAGAATGGAACAAAATACCAGCACATTTGAAACTAAGCAAAGACTTCAAAGTTAGTTACACATTTTTTTAACAACACAGAAGTGCCAACATTAACAAACAACTAAATTATACCTGATTAAGGACAAAGAGGGAGCAGGAGATGTCATTGTACTTTTTGTTGTTTATGCTATTTTTGTATTCTATGTTTTGTCTGTCTCAGGGACTAACGATGGAAATTAGCTCAGAGACCTCACGTCTGGTACAAAGAATCTTTTCAGTGTTTCTTAATGCTCCTGTACATGGTCCCTGTCAAATAAACTTCATAAACTAAACATCTTTTCTGAAGCCTCCTGATAATATTAGGTTCGGGACCATGCTATTGTTGTGACCCTGGGAAAGACACCACTTTGCCCACTCCAAATATTCAAAATTCAACATCTATAATATCTCAAATAATGCTGAATGTCTTTGGAGATTGTGATTAGACTGAATGGTCGAAAACTTCAGTGCCCCTCATATGGAAAGCTGCAGATCACACGAGCAAGCAGCAGAATTATTTTCATTTGAACCTGACTACGCAACGCTGCTAAATCCTACATCACGGAAAAATAAACTGAAGAACAATGAGGAATAAAGAGCGATCAGTGGTGAAAATGGGGGCAAAACGGTGTCTTGAAATTAAAAATTACCCAAACACTAATCACTCTAAATTCAATTTCAAGAGGGTAAATGAGAAAGAAACAACTATAACATGGTTGAAAGCTCTGAAAGTCCATTTTGCAGAATAGCCCTGCTTTAATGCCTCACAGTGGAACATAACAGGCAAAGCAATAACATCAGCAGTACGTGTAACCCTGTTCGTGTTTTTAACTGTACCACTCCCATGATACAGCGGTACACACACACACGCCAACTGGCTGAACTTTTCAAATGATGTGCAAATATGTGAGAAAGCCTGAAGGAGCCACCGCAGCTGAGTGTCTGAAAAATGTCTCAAAATATATTTATGCCCAAAAATGTTAGAGTCGAGTCGAGACAGATCCACATTTAAATCGTTTTAAGGTCAAAGTGCAGTCTGATCTAACTGTTCTTCAGAAACCGTTTACATTTAATGAGCTCATTTCACGCCATTTTCTGATCTGTGTTATAATGTAGTTTACTCATCAAAGATATACTGTACCTGGAGTTGTGTTTTGTTTCATTTACACATGTTGAACACACAAACCCTACAGATTTAGGCTGAGATCTTCTCTCAAACAGAAAACACTCCACTGTGTTCTTAAACTCTGTACACCTTCACTAGAATCATTTGAATTATTTCAGCCGTGGAATTGCCGATCTCTAATGAACTAAACATAGTAAAACACAGCTGTTAACTTGAAAACTACCACTACATTTGAGCTTTGGAGGTGTACTCATTTCTGTATAGACCCTGCACACATGACTGGGCGACAGGTGCGTTGGAGGAAAGACACTTAAAAAATGAAAATGTTTTCAAGAAGGCTCCTGCACACAGTCTCACTTTGTGGGACCTTCAGGTTTAAGATGGTCCTCATACACCAGAGGAAGGTCAGAGGAGCTGAAACATTGTATTAATAAAAGAAAACCAAGAGTGAAAAAGAGCTTTGGAGATGCAGATTAATAATAAAGGATTACTCAAACATGTGCGACTGAAACAAAACACAACTCCAGGTCTGTTTGTGATGAGATAACAACAATATAACATAGTAGTAATATAGGACCTTTAATAGTACACCATGTAACTTTTTGTGGAGGTCTGTCACCTGTTACCTGTTGTCTCCATGAAGATGTCAAATGGCAGAATATTCCACAGTATGGCATTGAACTTTTTGTTGCAGGTAACATTTGCAATTAGAACGCATGTTTTTAAGTGATAAATTAATGAAATATAATAATAAGATTGATAAATTCAATGCCTTAGAGTACTGTGAGACATTCAAGGAAAAGGAATAAAGTTTCCATGGTGACAAGCAGGCGAGGGACTCTTTACCAGAAGGTTATGTTTAATAAATACCTAAGCAATACCTAAGGGTCTATGGTGGTTAAAGTTTGGCAACAGTTTTAGTCCGGGTTCAGTCCTGGGTCAGCCGCTTGGTCCAGCCGCTTGGTCCAGCCGCTTGGTCCAGCCGCTTGGTCCAGCCGCTTGGTCCAGCCGCCTGGTCCAGCCGCCTGGTCCAGCCGCCTGGTCCAGCCGCCTGGTCCAGCCGCCTGGGTCAGCCGCCTGGGTCAGCCCTGGCTTCAGCATTTCACTTTAAGATTGTTTCTATCTTTTGATATGATCAAGTGTTTTATTTGAAAGCCAAATATGAAATAGTAAATAATTCTGATAGCCTTATTTTCTTCTACAACACAAAATAAATTATTGTTTTCTTTTCTACTGTTAAGTTTATTTGTGTCCATTTGGTGGCAGTGAAGCAGAAGGCAAATCTCAGGGCAGGGATCTTCAGAGAATTAGAACAGAAGAGATCTATTATATATAATTACAGTTGTTAGGTTTGAGTATTAAATCATTTAACGCCCTTCATTTTGAAAAGGAGGATGTGATTTAATACTTGCTTTCTAAGGCAGTTTCCCTCATTACGGCATTAAATTATTAAAAACAGAATAGTTTGTTTAGTCAGAATCAAAATAAATCTTGTTTAAATTTCAAAGTTGTGATTCGTCTTAAAGGTGCACTATGTCACTTTTCTGTCCACTATGAGATGTTATTAATTAGCCTGGAATGTTCCACTGCATATTATTAAGCTTATCTAACAGGCATTTATTTAATTAAAGGTGTTTTTATAGCTCAAAACATGGATTATACCTGACTTTGCTTTATGTAACTTTTCTGATGGAGGATATATCACGTTTTTGTCTCCATGGAGATTTGTTTGCCAAAGAATGAGCTCTATCCATATTACAATTATTCAGTTACAGGTGTTTTATTGCTCGGAAATACCTGGGTGAACACTTACTCTCCACAGATCTGACCTGTAACCTGATGGCGCCACATGCTTGTCAAGACAAACAGGTATTAAACCCTAGAAAGAAAAACACTAGAAAAGTTGGTGAATAATTTGGATGCTCTGAATGCATAAGATAAGAGAGGAATAACTGTTAAAACTAGACAAACAGAACTAGTTCGCTTTAACGACCGTAAAACTCAGATGCAGCATCTTTAAGGCCTTGGTCTACCCTAAAATAACTCAGAGATGGTAACAGTAGTTAAGGTGATCTAAAACAACAGGAGAAAGAAACATGTGGAGGGTATGTGCGAAGAGGACATTAAATTTTACGACTTGGACCTTAAAAATAGATTATTTTATTTTTAAACAATTAAGTACAGTATATAGCCACATTTTCAGAGTAGAACATACACCACAAATGTATTCTGAATGCTGAAAATAGAATCATCTGAATGAATAAAAGACGATGTTGTATTTGTAAATAATCATATGGGGTTGTGGGTGTTTTTGTGACGGAGGTGCGAGGGGTGGTGCTGACCTTTGACCTGGGCGCTGTGGCGTACAGCAAGGAGCGGTTCGTATCCGTGGAGACATTATCAGCTGAAGAATTGCCGCTGAAAAAGACAGGGAAATGTCAAGTTAGGGATAGAGCCATTTTCCGTATATCAAGTATTTAGTTTTGTTTATAAAATGATTTTAAAAGAAAAGATTTTTTTTTCTTCTATGAAAATTTCAAGGTTAGCGGTCAGACAACTGGGGATTGCTTTGCCTGGAATGTTCCACCATAGAGCATTAAACTTGCAACAATTAAAAATGTATCTTTTATTTTAAATTTTTAAATTTATTGCAAAAGTAAAGATCTGACTTGTAACTTGACCTACTTGTCTTCATAAATATGTTTTTAATACCATATTGTGGAAGATTTCAGGCAAGTTACTTAATGCACCATACAGTTAATAAATCAAATGCTGAAATGCAAAATGAGATTAAAATCTGAAATCCTGCATGTTCATTTATATAGAGCACGAGGGATTGTTACACATGTGCTTAGGTGAGACCCTGAGGTGGGGCTGCTACACCAACTGTGAACTTTTGAACTTTGAACTTCACTCAGAGACAGAACTGAACTCCACCAAACCAAAGCAAACACAGTGATCAGCTCAAAACTACAAGTCTACAGATGTAAACAAGCACAGGGACCCAAAAGACCAGTTCATGGTTTATTGTTAATGCTTACATATTTCTCAACCACTGGAACTTTTATTGTTTATGGGTGTGTGGCAATTACATTTCGAAACAACATATTTTATCTTTGCAATATCAGCTGCATGAACTTCACCTGTGTTTCAGTTGCTTCATTTATGGATTTGTGTTTCCTGTTAAAAATAAAAAATTGCACTAGAGTGTTTTGTTTTTTTTTTGAGTGTGCCAGAACCAAGGCACCCAGAAAGAACCCATGGGACAAACTGGATCCATTGAACAAAGTGTGAGGTTGCTGAGTTGAATCAGAATTAGGGCCCGACCAATATGGATTTTGTTGTGGCCGATATGATACTGTTATAATGGAAGTTGAAGCTGCCGATAGCCAATATAATCGCCGACACATTTAGTGATGTAAAAATTCACTGTAAATCTTGAACTGGTGGATTTTAAATTGAGTTTATTTAGGCAACATTTATTGTTATTCTGCCTCTTTATGTCATATTCACAGACGTAGGTCAGTAGGTGCATCACATTCTAACTACTAGTGATGGGTATTCCAGTTCTTTTTAGAGAACCGGCTCTTTTGGCTCGGCTCACTAAAAGCAGCTGGCTCTTTCAGCTCCCAAGTGACTCTTCAGATAATTTTGTTGCAAGCAGGACTAAACCAGGTCTAAAACAGGACTAAACAAGAACTGAACCAGGACTGAGTGTCGGGACTCGGTCTCTATCTCTCTCACTCTCTCGAGCCCAAGATTAGTCCTGGTTTATTTATTTTAAGCTGAACTACAGCCAAACATGGACGTTTTTTCTATCCTATGCACACGCAGATTTCTGAAAGTTTCTTTTTCAGCCGCTGCCGCTGTCAAACTACAACGAGTCTGCACGCGGCACGAAGAGAAAAAAAGTGAGAGAAAGAGAAAACACGGCTCCCAACAAGGAGCAGGCTTCCGGCGTTCGCTTCAAAGAGCCGGCTCTAAGAGCCGTTTCGTTCACGACCGACCCATAACTACTAGCAAGTAAAGAAAGTAAACTACTGCTATTAGCATTTAGCGTAAATGTGTGCACACCGCGGTAATTATATGCGCAAATTTCATCATTCACACATCTATTCACAGCTCATTTACATATCAATGCAGGTCCAGTAACAAATATACAGCCAATTAGTCACTTTACAATACACCAACAAAAGAGAAAACAGCCTGTTTATGTGTGAGAGCTACAGCAGCTATTCGCTAACCAACCACAAATAACCAAAACTAGCTTCAAAGTTGACATATTTCCAACACTCACCGCTCACACAGGCTCTTCCTCACATCACAAGTCTGCACTAATAAATGTCCTTTTAATCCAGACTCAAACTGATTGTCCGTAAAAAGAACATAATCTCGGTGTTTGGATCTATGGCTGCGGGTGTAAACGAGAGCACGTGAGTGACGTGACTCTGGGGGTGTGTTCAGGGACAGTATGGACACACACAGACAAATGACTCCGCAGATAAATACTGATGCGGAGCCACATATTAGGACATTTGTCTGTAAATTGCATTAAATGAACATAATGTAGAGAGTCAAAGCTTCAAAACGAGGTAAAACATGCCCACGTGAAATATCGGCCCATATTGGCAAACATATCGGCTGATGATGTTTGAAATAAAACTAACCTTACATCGCATGAATCGTCGCATGTTGAGGGACTATTTTCTCATATATCAGTCCACGGCGGCCAAGCTTTCTATCAGGAAGTACAACTCACTGCTGCTGCTCAGATATAAATCCTTCAAATGCAAGGTTGGTTTTACTTCTAAAATTATTCTATCTACACAGACATTCACACGGACAGTCTGGTGTAATAATAGATTTGCTTCAGGTGTTTTGTCGAGTGGATAAGACTGTTTTTAGTAGCAGGATAACTATGACCATTGACATGCACTAGCCTAGTAAAAGCGACCTCTGCAAATACAAGGACTGGATGGAATATTTTAAAGTGTCCCCACGCATCTCCAACACCCTGGCTCACTAGGAAATGCGGCCCTATGTCCAAATTGCGAAGTGTCACTTTAAGAGAAACTTGAGTTCTAATCACAGAAGGTATAAAGAACTATAATAATCACAGAAGAATAATAATCACAGAAGGTATAAAGAACTATAATAATTAATAGTGATTAATTCCAATCTGGGGGAACGTGATAATACTGACCTGGAGCGTCAGGTTAAACCCTGAAGGTAAAAAGTGATTAAATACAAATCTACTGTATTTTGACTTAATTCTGCACTGAAAATACTCTCACAAGATGGAGAGGGCAAGGCAGTCCATTTCTCAATATCTGAAGTGCATTTTATCATAAGCATCTTGGCGTTTTTATGTCCCAGTCATTCTTAGGTTTGACCCTTGACGTGCTAATGTGCATCAAAAAAAAGTTCCTGATTCTAGTATTACTGTCAGTCTTTTCACTGCCCTATTTGTTCGTGTGTATTTATATGTTTGTGTGTTTAGAGAGATGCTTCTAAAAACACATGCTTTTATGATTCCACACAAAGCCTTAAACCTTAGGTCCAGATGTTACATAAGGCCAATCAGCTCAGTGTGAATCAGAGTTTGTGAATGGGCCTGAACCGGCTCAGCAGAGAGAGGATCAGATGAAGGGAGGAGGAGGAGGAGGCTCAGACATAGGAAAGTCAATTAGGACACTTTCTACAGGACACAGAGAGTGAAAAAACACATTAGAACTGACAAATGATAATAATGGTTGGATTTATAAAGTTACGGACATTGTAGGGCTGTCAAACTATCGAAACTCGAATACAGATTGATACTAAAACCAGAATTGAAACTAGATAATCATTTAAGCGGGTATCAATACGAAAAAAAAACATTCAAAGGACAGAAATGAACCTTTCCTGAATAGCTTTAGAATGATCTTGAGCTTATCAGAACAAGTATAAGAACACCTAGACATGTATACCACTGAGGGATTGCAAAAATTTAAGACCACATGGGAATAAAAAAGAAAGTACTGTGTTAAAAATCATATTCTACTGTCTGAATAAAGTCTTTTTATGATCAAAATGTTATCAGAATCTGTAGTATCAAGTCTATTCCTCCCTTCAAAATCATGACAACATTAATTTCACATTTCCGATTATACTGTATGTTGCGCGGTCACTTGTCACGTTTGTATTGTGGTTACATAAGCAGTTTCTCTAAGTGTAAATAGAATTGTTTAATAGTCTGTCAGCACTTGTAAATAATGGAACACAATGAAGCCTTTGTGATAGTGTTTGCCTTCAGAAGCAGACGGGAGGAGGGGCAGGAAGTGCACGGAGAGACACGGCGACCCAAGTCTCACCTGCGCGGGAAAAAACACAGGTAAACAAGAGTTCGATTCAACAGACATATGTAATGATAATAATAATAATAGTAATAATACATAACACTTGTAAAGCTTTTCAAGATACTCAAAAGGCGCTTTACATCAAGAGACAAACAAAGACAAACAAAAGAAATAAAGTCCATGAAAGGAGGTTTTAAAGAGATGGTTTTCAGGGCTTTTTTAACATCGGGAGCATCGATGAGTCTCTGATGTGTTTGGGCAAGGAGTTCCAGAGGGTCAGGGCAACGGCGGAGAAGGATCTGTCCCCCCAGGTCTTGTGTTTAGTCCCGGTGGGGGGAGACAGGAGGTTGGCGGAGGTGTGGTGGTAGGGGAGCTCAGAGATGTAGAGAGTTATGAATTGGATGAACTGGATATAAGATCTTCTGCACATTCCACTATAATTCCATTCTACTGATAACAAATTTTGAAGTACAGTATTGATACAGAGAAATATCATAATAAAAGATCATATTGAAACTAGGATAAATAAAGCAGGATAATCCCAGTAAACGATTTTAAATACAGAATTGTTAAAAGGCATTCTGAAGTGCAAAAATATAGCAGAATGAACTTTTGATTAGTCATACAAGTTACTCAATTAACTCCTTGAAGCTCAAATCTTATCTTATTACAAAAATAGCAAAAACCTTCCCATTATTGCAAAGAAAATGTACACACAATAAATATTGAGTACGGATGGGACAAGATCTTGTTCCACAAGATCTAGTGAGATGAAATTCCCATAAAATTGTGCACACGTGAGAAAAATTATCTTTTTTTATGTATTTATTTTTTTTAATTTAGTCTAAATTTAGATTGGACAAAAAAATGACTGGTAAGTTACATCTCTTAAGAAGCTGTGGTTTCAAAAAAAGTAGGTCTACAATTACAAAAAAATGTTAGACCAAAACTGCAAATGGGAACACGCCTTTTTTAAATTATAGATTATGTGAAAATCTCATCTTGTCTCAATCTCGTTTTCTTGTTTTTGTCAGAAATGAGTCCAGTCTCATCCCTAATATTGAGCTCCAAAAAAGATTG